CACAGTTGAAAGTGTTGTAGGTGAATTGCAGGTGTATGGAAGATAATTGCAAAAGCTGATGTGGCACAATTGAAAGTGTAAATGGATTGCAGGGATGTGGATGGTCTAACGGGAGAAATAGATGAGAAAAAAGTAAATTAGTTACATTAAAATCACATAGAACATAACGTATGATAACATAAACACAGAACAAACAAGATAAAAACACATCCATATATCCTTTTCTTAATCATAAAACTCTTGCAGCATAAAGTGTCAACTCGCTAATGGTAGATTTCAACTGAAATTACAATAATAAAAAAGAACAGAATTGGGCTAACTCTGATGTACCCCTATTTTCGTTAAGAAATATTGTCTCACCCCATTGCGTCATAATTGTATCACCCTAACATACTTCCGTGAACTCCAAAAAGAAAAAAACTTCTTTCTCCATGCTCTTCCAAATCACTTTTAATGAGATCCTAACATAGATTTGGGTTGAGTTCACGTAAGGCCAAATGTATTTTCATGAGACCCATAAAACCAATTTATGTTCATTAATCAATTTTATAAGCTAACGATTTAATGGTCTAAAGTTGCACGGTGATAATTTTGTGATTATTAAGAAGTCTCGTGATAATTATCTAATCCAAGAGTTGAAAATTGGACTTACGGGTCTCATGAAAAACCTTTGCTCTCACATGATCCCAAGTCTGTTGTTCGATGGGCTATTTAAAAATAAGTCGATGGTTCAAGAAAATAAATGGGATAAATAAAAATCAAAACTATAATTCGTTTTGGTCAACGCTTTGACATGCTGGTATATATATGATTTGTAAACGAACTTCGTACCCAATTCACTACTATGAATCTGCAAAAGCTCAAGTCTTTCAGAAAGCTTCACATTTGTTATTACAATCAATGTTGTTCGACACAATCATTTGCTTCTACAATCGAGATAGAAACCCAACCTTGCGTCTTCCGTGATGCGGCCAACCCGTTCGACGGAATGCCCCAGAAAGATGTTTCTGGTGCTAACCATAATCACTTGCTTTTCGAGTATGCTCGAACCAATAACAACTTTCAAGCTCTTAAACACTTTCTGGGAATTCGACGTTTGGGTTTACAGGTTAATGGGGCAAGCTTTTCTTGTGTTTTAAAGATATGTGGAAGCTTGTGCGATCAAATATCAGGCAAGCAAATACATTGTGATTGTATTAAATATGGGTTTGTTGAGGATGTTAGCGTTGGTACTTCTCTCATTGATATGTACACAAAAACGGAAGGAGTGTGGATGGCTGAGAAGGTGTTCGATGAAATGCCTGACAGAAATGTGGTGTCTTGGACTTCAATGCTTACGGGATATTCGTCGACAGGGATGCACGATCGGGCTGTAGAACTTTTCTTGCAGATGCAAGTTGAAGGAATCAAACCTAATCCATTTACGTTTGCTACTATTCTTGGAGCTTTGGCCGACATTGGTGCAGTGGTGAAAGGAATGCAGGTACATACCATGGTTGTCAAATTTGGTTTTGAGCTGACCACATATGTATGTAATTCTTTGATTAGTATGTATTCAAGATCAGGGATGATTAGATGTGCAATAGCAGTATTTGGTGGTATGGAGGTTAGAGATGCAGTTTCTTGGAATGGAATGATAGCTGGTCTGGTGACGAATGGGAATTATTTAGTTGCCCTTGATCTGTTCCATAAGATGAGGCTTTCGGGAGTGAAGTTAACGCAACCGATCTTCGTAACGATCTTGAAGTTGTGTGCTAACATCAAAGAAATACATTTAGCGAAACAACTCCACTGTGTTGTTTCTAAGAACGGAATGGAATCTGACCCTAATCTCAAAACTGCACTTATGGTTTCATACACAAAGGGGTGTGAAATGGATGACACGTTGAAGCTATTCAGTACGATGAACGGGGTTAGGAACGTGGTGTCATGGACAGCAATGATTGGTGGATATATGCAAAACGGGTGTATCGAGAAAGCAGTGAATATATTTCGTCAAATGTGTAGAGAAGGTGTTCGGCCAAACGACTTCACCTATTCCACCATTCTTGCTGCTCATCCCACAATATCTCCATTCCAGATTCATGCCCAAGTTATCAAGACAGATTATGAATCAATAACTTCAGTTGGCACCGCACTTTTAGATGCGTATATGAAGATCGGAAACAGGAATGATGCAATAAGAGTTTTCGAAACGGTGGAAGAAAAGGATATTGTTTCGTGGTCGGCTATTCTAGCAGGATACGCGCAATCTGGAGATGTTGATGGGGCTGTGGGAGTATTTCGCCGGTTAGCTGATAATGGGGTTAGACCAAACGAGTATACGTTTTCAAGTATCCTTAACGTGTGTGCTAGTCCAATGGCGGCAGTCGAGCAAGGGAAAAGGTTTCACGTTGGAGCAATTAAAGAAGGATATAACAACGCTTTATGTGTAAGCAGTGCTCTGGTTACCATGTATGCAAAACGAGGAAATATCGAGAGTGCAAACAAAGTTTTCCAACGGCAACCAGAACGAGACTTGGTTTCGTGGAACTCGATGATCTCGGGATACGCACAACATGGTTACGGGAACAAAGCTCTTGAGATATTTGAGGAATTGCGAAAAACAAAGTTGGAAATGGATGATATAACGTTTATTGGCGTGATTACTGCATGTACTCATGCAGGATTAGTCGAAGAAGGTGAAAGATACTTCGATATGATGGTAAAAGATCTTCATATCGATCCAACATCCGAACACTATTCGTGTATGGTCGATCTGTATAGCCGAGCAGGATTACTGGAAAAAGCTATGGCTCTCATAAACGGCATGCCTTTTCCTGCTGGAGCAACGATCTGGCGATCTCTTCTGGCGTCTTGTCGTGTTCATAAAAACTTGGAGCTCGGAAAACTTGCAGGAGACAAGCTTTTGTCACTTCGGCCACAAGACTCCGCTGCTTACGTATTGCTATCGAATTTATACGCTACGACCGGTAACTGGCAAGAAAGGGCAAAAGTTAGGAAATTGATGGATGAAAGGAGTGTGAAGAAAGAAGCCGGATACAGTTGGATCGAGATCAAGAACAAGACGTATTCGTTTGTTGCATGGGATACTTCCCATCCTTCATCGGATCTTATTTACGAAAAACTGAAAGAATTAAGTTTGCGGTTACGGGATGCTGGATATTTGCCAGATACAAGTTATGTTCTTCATGATGTTGAAGATGAGCATAAGGAAGACATTCTTTCTGGGCACAGTGAGCGATTAGCGGTTGCTTTTGGACTAATCACGACACCTCCTGGCGTTTCATTGCAGATCATGAAGAACCTTCGAGTTTGCGGTGACTGCCATACTGTTTTCAAGTTGATATCTAAGATCGAAGGAAGGGAAATAATCGTAAGGGATTCGAATCGGTTCCACCATTTCAAAGATGGTGTATGCTCTTGTGGAGAATATTGGTGATCGAAGGTAATTTTCTGTCATTCAGAACATTCTTTTGGTTTTGTCGCATAATTCTCTATTTTCTTAACCTTATAAACATTCAGACCGTCTATTACATTTGTTGATATCAATGCTCCAATTCTCTATTTTCTTACCCTTCTTCTCCAAACTCTTTTGTGAATGTCTCATGGACCTCGAGGTCGCTTTTACTCACAGTTGGCCTCTATCTCGCCAAAACCTTGTAAAATCTGTGTGGACTAATCTGTAGTAATTAAGTTGATCATAAGGGTCTTCAGCACACAGGGTTTGTCAAGAAGAAAATATTGGATTCACACACTTGAGACTTTTCATTACCTTTTCAGCCAGCTCTTGTGATCTGACAGCACCTGGTTGTTTTGGTCCACAGGGTACCCACAAATCCTCATTTGTCTTAACAAAAAACATGGCGTCTTGAGTTTTACATACAGATTCAAATAGAGCATCCTTAACCTACGAAAGCCATCAACAATAGACTTAGCCAAGACAACATATACAAACCAAAAGTAGGAATTTCTATAGGACCTGCATTTGCACAAACTGCAATATCTGAACCAGAAAATCCTTCGGTTTTACATGCCAAACTTTCAAAGTCACTTTCATTCTTGTTATTGGGAGCATCTCCTAAATGCACCTGTATTTCCACAACGAACCACATATAGTAGAACCAAGACTTATACAGAAGGCATTTCTTTATATAGGGAGCGGGAGCCCACATTCCTACCATCAACACGACATCTAGTTGAATCATAGAACTACATAGAGGACATGAGAAACTAGTGTTGACTGCATATTTATGAAGGGTTTAGCTTACTTTGAAGTTTGAACATGTGCAGCCGAGCCTTCAAATCTGGGAGTGGAATGTATATAAGCTTGTCAAATCGCCGCCGGATAGCCTGAAATGATCATCCGTTAGTAATTGCTTTACTAAAGGTCAATGAGATGAATATGAAGGCTCACTGAAGCTTACTAACAAACAACAAAGGCTCACTGAAGCTTGCTAACCAGTAAATAATTGCGGGAATTTAACCACACTCTCGACCCCAGCAACATCATTCCTCCGGTTTCTCTCGCACAATCGCAGAGTTCAAACCAGTCCTAAGTTTGGCTTGCTCCGGATCCTCCCCATCTCCTTCCCCGTCCTTGGTTTTTGTCTTCGGTCATGCAACCACCGCGGTATCACCTCCATTCGCGGCCGGTCCTGCTCCGGCGTCATCAATAAGAGCCCCGATTTCCTCTGGACTACGCAAATACTCGGTAAATTTGAGCGTAATGGCTTCACGAATCTTTAAGTGAGTTCTGAAGTGTAGTATTCCAAAGCGTTCATGTATAAAGGGGAAAGCTTTGGCATTGTCTTCGTGCACAGCTTGCTTCACGTACTGTATTGCTTGTTCTTTGAAATTGCTATACATCAATCACTTTCAAATTTGAACTATTGCAATTAAAGAATGCAGAGAGATGAAACGAAAACCTTGCGTGAAAACGTGATGGATTTGGGAGTTCGATCTGGGGAAGACAATGAAGCAATCGGGACCACCTTATTGCCATTTGAGTCACTGTACTGATGACAGTAACCACTATTCTATGGTGTTTTGTAAGTTTATTTAAGGGAAAAGTCCAGAAAAACCCAATAAATTTTACTGTTTGGAACGATTAAGTTTTTGGACAATTTTTTGTAACAAATAAATCCTTGAACATTCTAAAACTTACTAAATAAGTCATTGAACATTATAAAACATGTTAAATAAGTCTTTAGACTTTCTAAAATCTGTTAAATACATTTTGTTAATGAAAAAAGTCCGAAAAAACTAATAGATTTTCATATTTTGAAAGATCAAGTCCTTAAACATTTTTTGAACGAAAAAAATACTTACATTTATAAAAAAAATATACCATTCTCATTACTCTTCACAAAACATACAAAAATTGTATCCAAAACATAATAATCTGCATACAAATTATTTTACTCTAAAACATTTCCTATAAGTTATGTTCTTTGTTCTTTCTTAGGAGCATTTGGTACATACATATTATTTTCGAGAATTCAACAATGTCTTCAACCCCACTCAAATTCAGACTTAATCCAAGAGCAACAAATCAAAATACAAAACAAATAAAGGAACAAATCAAATGTTTAAACATATTTAAATTTAAAAACCTCATTCTTTAACTGCTTGGAAGGATTTTGGGACATATCCACCCTCATATATACATATGTACCAAAAACATAATACGGTCTTATACACAAAAGAAATGAAGTTATATACTAATTATTATCATCTATGGACCTTTGTTAGGCAAATAAACCCAGATGACGATCCATGATCTGAGAAACAGTCTCAATGAATGCAGTCTCACTTGAACCAGGAAGAACAAGATCGTCGGCTTCTTGGACAATTTATTCAATCACGGATTGCTTATTCAAGTTTTCCCTACACATGATGTTTCCAATGGAAAAAGGGGTGAATCCTTTCTCCACACTTTTCTTGAGTAGCATGGTGGATATTCGAAAAGTGCCTGCACATCCTGAGGGTAAATTCCAGCCGTAAAAGTTAAGTAGAGCAATGTCTTCCTCAGCATCCAGTGATTTGATGTAGTTGACAGTTTCGGGAATGAATGGTTGGCGAGCTTGAGGCCATTAGAGCCAATCAAATGTGCAGTCTTCAAACTGCAGAAACCAAAAAAAATAAAACCAAGTCCTTGTGCAAATAAGTAACTTTAATATGAATTTCTCGTCTAGATGAGTAAATTAGAATCGAGGAATTCACGGCCGTTTATTTTAAGAGGTTCTGAACTCTCAAATCTTATTTCACTTCTTATTGACAAGAAGTGGTGCTCAAGACTGAAAGCAGAATCAAAAAGATTTTTGTTTTCATAAACTGATAAATCAGTAAGAGGTATTTTCCAAAAATCACAGCACCCTAGGGAGCCTGAAACCATGATCCCAAATGGTCCCCATTGTGTTATGTAAACTTGTAGTTTTTGTAATACAGGGCAAGAAATCAAGAACCATCTCAACCACATTTTAGGGTAATCAAACTATATGTCTTTAAAAATGGAGTTCAAAAGCAAATACTTAGGACTATAATGCTTTCAAAAATGGACCATGTGTTGGTCAATGTTGAAATCTTTATAGGATTGAAAGAGTATAGAAATTCATCGCCTACTCCCTGTCCCTACTTCATTCGTCACACCAAATAATTTTATCACATTTCCAACACAAACCTTGATAAACATAAACATAAAGGCAGCACCAAGATGACAAAATGATCATTCTAAAATTGGCGGCAACAAC